TTCGAGAACTCTTTTGCCGAGGACTATGTGACTGAGAAATTGCTAACTGCCCTCAACAATTACGCAATACCAGTTGTATATGGTGGTGCTAATTATTCGCGGTAAGTTATTATAGCATTTTGTTTTATTCTAATAGAGTAGAAAATATTTAATTCTTAATATCCTTGAATACAATTTTGATGTGGCCGCAGTTAAAGTCAGTTTTGAATTAATGAAATTTTGAAATAATGAATTAATGAACCCATCCTTTAATTTTCGTAATTCCTAACCTAAAAGTTTTGAAGGTTAGGAAACATAAAAGACGCATTCATAAATCGAATAATTTGATTCAAAACTACTACTGATTCAACCTTATTAGAAAATAGAATTAAAATGAAAGAAATATCAAAATGAATACACAGTTTGTGTATTATTTTAGTTATTTTAATATAAAACCTGAGTTTTGTTAGTATAATAGTATCTTTTTGTAATTCTGGTAGATAAAACATACCAGTAATTTAATATTACTATTACCAGTCGGCCAGTTGGTAGTGTTGGTACGCTATCTCTTATTTATTCACGTGTATTGTAAATATTCAACAGTGTGAAATACAAACACAATGCCATTATGTCACACTGTTGTCGTCACTTTAAATAACACAAGATTTTATACTACCTACAAACAAAATTCTATAAGATAGATACAGTTTTGCTTTTTATAACAGCACGTTTAGTTCCGAAAGTAAATGTGATGTGATACGATTCATGTCAATAGGTGAAAATTCGTTATTTTATATTCATGGAATTATTCATCATCTTTAATTATAAAGAAACTTTAAAAAGGTTTTTAATTTTGAGGGTGTTAATAATATTCACTTCTTGAAGTCGATTTAACTTTCTTTAAAAAAAATCCGGTTACCTTTTGTCAACTCTAAGATAAATAGATTATTAGTTTATTCCATCAATTGCAACACAAAACTATACAACAGAGAGAAAGACATTTACATAAGAGTGAAAATAAAGAAAAATTGACCGATCACCGATGTATCATGTATAGATAATAAAGCACTGATCCTCAGCCCTAGCTCTAAAACTCCCATATTTCAGATATAAGAGCAGTACCTACCTGAACTATTCTTGTCCTCTCTATTATTTTTTTAAATTTCCTACTATCAACAACCGTTACAACATTAGTAGAATGAAATCTTACATAATCTTTAAAAAACTTATTTATAATGAAAGAAACAAACTCGTATGTAATATTTTCTCCAACCTTTTGGGAGAATGCCCACAACAGTGCTTTCTAGTTATCTCTAGCCAAATATTTAACTAAAAAAGAATATCAATATAGAAAATGGACTTTTTATTGTGTCGGGTTTGAGTTTTGGTAGCTTCGTAGTTGCAGATTTCCATAACACAAATGCTTTATATACTTAATTTGGGATCTGCGTAATGTGATGTCATGTTGTCTATCTGCTTAAATTATATTAGTAGCTTTTCGCCAGCAGCTCGTCTGCGTAGTCCCTAAGGAACTATATTTGGATATCCATTAATATAATGATACAGATATAATTAAAATGACAAATTGGATAGTAAACAATGGTTGCTATCACAACATAGAGAGAGATTAGAAGTAGTAAGTGGGCGGGACACGCGTGGCTGGCATACGCGCTTTTACTCATATGACGCCCTTTCCTCGGTTTTACTCGGTCAATAGTCGAGTGGTGATTTTATATATAAATTTTATATGTAAATTATATATAACGTGGACAGCTCTCTTTTGTAAAATAAAAATATCTTGAATGCTAGCCGCAGAACCCCACAACAATAGATTATACGTCATAACACTATGAAAATAACTAAAATATACCAATCTTGCCGTTTCAACATTTGTCAAGAGTCTAATTTTCTTAACAGCAAATGCTGCAGAACTCAGTCTACTTGACAAATTATCAATATGAGGATCCCATTGCAATCGGGAATCTAGTGTAATACCAAGGAACTTTGTCGATTCCACCAACTCAACTTTTTCACTATTTACATTTATAAGTGTATTAACATGCCTCACATTAGGTAATGAAAACTTTATGTATTTCATTTTATTTGAATTAAGCTTTAAAAAATTACTATCAAACCACTGTAGAACATCGTCGAACTGAATTACATTTAACTGTTTCATAACAGAATTTAAAGCTCTTATTTTATCAACTAATATTATGTCACATCACTAATATGCACAATCGGAATGATACCAGTAAGAAAAAATTACAAATTAGGCTTAATGTAAAGTAAATACAAAAATTTTTCTCTCACTTAATTATATTACTCCACAGACATATGATAGAGTTTATCATTAAGTTTTCTTAGTTTTTGTACTACGTTTTTTATAAGATATTTTAATAAATTATTATATAGGGAAAAGTGTTATTTTTCCTATTCACTCGGTTACAGCAAAATCTAATCTTAATAGTTCGCACATAAAATGATGTCCCAATTTTTTAAAATGTGCATAATCTTAAAATATTTTTTCCCTTCTGGTATGCCCGTATACAAGCTGCTCAGTCACGTGACAGTTAAATATTCATGTTAAAGTAAATTATTTATTATCACGTTGAATTAGTGTTTGTTTTTAATCGTGTGGTTTCTAAGCTTAGTATCTTTTTGGGATTTTGTATATGTTATCGCGAACGTATCGCGTGGCGGTTTTTCATGTAGTGAACAAAATGATAATTTCATCTAATCTGTATTTGTGTGCGGAGAGGCGACACTCGGTCCCCATACTAAATTAATATCATTATACTTCTAATCTCTCTCTATGTTCTGTGGTAGTTATGGTAATATTAAATTCCCTATACAAACTTTCACTCCTATTTTTATCCCTTTATTTGCTGGTTTGCTTCAGAATTTCGGAACCTATTCGTTGCAAACAAACAAACAAATCTTTGTTCTTAATAATATTAGTAAAGATAGATCTAGAAAACTTGCAATCAATACAAAAATTATAAAATTACCTCCGGAGACAAAATTGAAAATGAGACAAAATCAACACGCGCCTCAGTGACAGACAGAAACAAAGTAGGTATTGCCCTACTCGGGTAGAACGGAAGGTCTGTCGGGGTTCATAATATCACGAGGGATTAAGCTTCAATAGTATTTATTAACCGACTTCTAAAAAGAAAAGTAGGAGGTTATATGTTCGACAGCCGAATGGACCGAGGTGGTCCCATTTTAATTTTGTCGAAATCGAATCAGTGGTTTTCTTTTTATGACAGAACAATTTTGTATTCATTCAATATCCAAAATAAGGATTTTCTACATTCAACGAGTTTGTATATTTATATTTCTTCTTGAATTATGAACCAATTTCTACTAAACTAGCTGTTTCCCCGCGATTTCGCCTCCGTAAATTACAGCCAATGTTCCCTGCGTGTTATGTAGCTTCTCGTAAATGAAAGACTTTTATTATCGCTTCAATATTTTTGGCGTCTATCCAACGCAAACAAACAAGCGATCAAATCTTTCCACTTTATAATATGAGTACTGATTATTTGAAAAATCATGTCGAGCAAATAAACACAATCTCCTTTCGTAAAATTTTCACTATGTTCAATATTTTTATACAAATATTTCATATTTTTATCATTACCTATTATATAAGAAATTTAATATCACTAAATAGCATGAAATATATATTTTGAAATGGAACAATTTCAAACTTTTCTGTTTTGGCGCCCAACTTCAATAACATTTTCTTTAATAACTCGCTTTTGAAATAAATATTATTAATCACATTTTTTAAAGTTTAAAGTCGATGCTTTATTTAGATAAAAGAAATGTATTAAACTGCGGAATTATTACAAACATATAAATAACTACCTAGATACTAAAACAACATTTTCAAAAAGGATTGTAAAGGCTAAATAATAATATATCGTGCTAAAATAATTTGATAATTTCAAATATAAAAAAATGATTTAAATCGTTGACATGAAAAATTTGGATACGTATATAGAAACCAAGGAATAATATCAAGGTGCAAAACGCAATAAACAGAACCATATGTTGATGACAAAAAAACGATATCTAAACTTCTCGGTCTATGATACGTATAGTTTTGCGTCAGTTTTGTTCGACGTTAGCCGTCGGCTGCTGCAAAGTGCTCACATCTATCTGTAATCTCGTAGTATTGAAGGTCGTGGTCGTGGAAAGAGCTCACATATTATCAAGAAAATGAAAACTCACGTTTGATCTCAATCAAACTGAAGAAACGGAAGGATTTACCTTCATCAACTTCGCATTGCACTCGAGAGTACTTAAAATTGCCCGCAGGGAATTCCATTTATTACCGATGGTAAAACTGTGAAGGCGGGACGAGCTCGCGCAACTCTTGTGCGCCACTACCCGTAGCACTCGTTCATCCTATGAAAGATAGACAGGCAGGAAACATTACGCAAAATGGTCAAACTGTACAGCATGGACCTTCATCCACCAGAATTTGATTACTAATAATTTTCTTGACATTTAGCTGAGCCAACTTTGTAATTTTTTCTCTATCGAGCAAATTTTATAAACTTATATTTTTGCTCAGGTAGACAAACCTTTAGAAATACGATATACTTTTCTGATTTACAACTTATTTAGAAGTTACAAATTAGGTTTTTTTTTGTTTACGCGAAATCTTAAATTATGATCTATAGATACGATCCGCATGGAGCAAGTCTAAACGACACCTAAGCTTAAATCCGCAATTATAGTTCCACACCATATGTTAGTGCATTGAGTGCGTAAGCGCCGTGCGCGCGACTTGACGTATAACACAAAAAATTATAGTCAGTTTAACTGCTCGCTCTATGTAAGTTATGTTTATGTACATAAACCGTTTGTGAGTAACTATGTAACATTAGATCATCAGATCTGTTTGTAAATACGTCGATAAAGCCACATTTACGCCGCCACATTATCCTATATTAATTACGTAAAGAAAAGTGTTATTTATAATCGACATAGTAGTGTCCCATTTTCTAGTAGTACAACAGGATACCAACTTCGCACAAAATGAGGCATCGCTACATCATATACATCTGTGCTGCAGGTGTAGCGGTCGTCTGGTTTGTTTATATAACGATGTCAGCTGTCACGCCGGCAATGCAGCAACAGACTAATCTACCCGTCAAATACATTCTGCAATGGACGCCAAGATATTCTCCTTTCGACCTCATAAAAGAAGGAGTAGGTTCCTTCATTTCCAACAATTGCAAATACGTCAACTGCTTCGTAACAGGTGATAGAAGCGCGATGCCCCATATCACAGACTTCGACGCGATCGCGTTCAGTGGGAAAGATCTAACAGTACGTATAGAACTGCCTAGTGAAAGAGTGGAACATCAAAAATACATCTTCGCTGCAACAGAATCGTCGCATTATTTCCCTGTATGTGACAGCGTTTATGACAACTACTTCAATTGGACTTGGACTTACAGGATAGACTCTGACTTTCGTTGGAGCTACATAAAGATTTATGATATGGACGGACGATTTGTAGGGCCCAAGGAAGAGATGCATTGGCCAGAGCTGAGATCTATAGATGATGAGTTAAAGAGGAAATTGGACGCTAAATCAAAAGGGGCCGCGTGGTTTGTGTCTAACTGTCACACGCAGGGAAGAAGGGAAGTGTTTTATCAAGAAATGGCAATGGAATTGACTATTCCAAAATATGATTGGAGTATAGATGTGTACGGTGAGTGCGGACCGCTCAGTTGCACGCGCAAATACGAACAGGAGTGTAACAAAATGGTTGAAGAAGATTATCACTTCTATTTATCATTCGAGAACTCTTTTGCCGAGGACTATGTGACTGAGAAATTGCTAACTGCCCTCAACAATTACGCAATACCAGTCGTATATGGTGGTGCTAATTATTCGCGGTAAGTTATTATAACATCAGCTTGTTATATTCTAATAATGTTAAAAGGGTTTTATTACCAATTTTTTAAGAATTTTTTATTTTACTGAAAATTTAATAATGATAGAAATGTGAATATTCCACCAGACATTCATTATGTCTGGTGGAAGTTTATGTTTATATATACTCACTAATATCAATGGTGTTTAATATTAATAGCCCAACTCCAATGAAGTTTCTCAACTTAATTAATCTGTTTTCGTAGTCCGTTCATTATATTTATGTTTTTTCCAAATTTTTCCTTAAACTGATGGTTAATACGTGTTTTATTTTGCTCTTTTATTATTTTTAATTTAATTAACCACTTCAAAATATTAGGTTATCAATTAGGCTCCCATTTTGATGTTAAAAATGATAAATCTATATTTTAAAAACTAGTGAACGTTAAATGTATATAAATAATAACTTTTAAAGTTGTTACTTTAAAAAAAACAGTTCCTTATTAACTTAACAAATATTTAATCTAAAAAAAATATTGCAATTACATTTCGTGTTGACGTCTACAACATAACAACCTATTACAACAATAAGTATTAGGTATATCTCACGGTGTGACGACACCATATGTAAAATCGTGTGTAGCTCATACGAATTGCGACATTCTAACAAAATTAACTTCACACAACTGATAACGGTCTCTTTATGAAGTCTGTTTAAAATAGTCAACGAGTCAGCTGTAATATTATTTCCATATATTATAAAAAATGGAACAATTGCTAATTTTAGGGATAACTTTGTAAACATTACATTATCATAAAACATTTATAAATTAACGTAACATTGTGAGAAAAGTACGAATTAGATTACTCATTTCTAATTATATTGTATAAAACTTATAAAAGTTTGCTAAAATGAAATTCAATGTAAGCTACCAACTTACTATCTTCGAGGTGAAACGCTAACTAGACTGGGCTATAGAATAGATAGGGTAAATAAACAAGGATTAATGTGATATGCACATGTCGCAGCCAATTATTTAAAAAAGTCCATTCAGTTTGACGGCTAGCCCTTTAAATGACTGGCGCCATTCAAATTCATGGTTCGTTTTTTAGTTAAAAACTAATATGATGTAAATATAATATAAACTTTCAATAAGATGGTATTAAAAGTAATTCTTAGTCTATGTAATAGCGTAATTTCGATACCTAGTCTGTACGCTTCCTTTTTCTGCTTGATCTTTTTATATCATGGCACCCTCAAGGCAATACTGTACGTCCTTGATAAAAGTCTATTAGTAAATACTTATCAATTGGTCCTCGAGTCTAGTAGTATTTATTTGAACACGAAATCCATAAACTTGATATACGTCTGATTCAAAAGCCATCGTATCATTTGTTATCGTTCATACTTATGGTCTATTTTTAATACGATACTAATTTCGCTTTGTTTACAAAATGGCATCAATAATCCAGTACGAGGTCTAACTGTTAACCAGTTGGCTGGGCTTTGTTCAGCCGTACTGTAATAAACATTGCATTCGGCTACTTAGCTGATCGACATTTAGCAGTGCAATTATAGGAATGCTGACATTCACTTAAAAAGCTAACGAACCAATTAAATTAAGTTTTTTTACTAATTTGGCTGCAACATACATACTACATTTGGTATTGACGCATACCCATGGTTGCGTCATTTATGTTTCACTACCTCATTCGTACATGAGCTCTAAGGCTTCAGTCTGATTATATTTAGCCAGCTTCGCTCCGCCCTACCCTGCGTAGACCTGTTTATATTTAGTCCGTCCTGCATATCAAACAAATATACCTATAAAATCGATTACCCATTCGCACGTTGCCTCATATATCGCTGATAACTTTACACCTCAACGACAGTGGCAATTTTACAAGCCATAATTATGAAATATTATATTTATTAACAAAATTATAGTTTCTATATTATTTTTCTTTTCGAAATACCTTTGTTTAACTAAATCCGACATTTCGAACATATTTTAATCTAGGCCAATTTAATGTAATAGAGTAACCAAAGTAACAATGTTTTTATAAATGTCATATTCAGTAATTGTATAAGATCGGTGACAATTAAATCGATAAAATTTAATGGACATACGTAATTTGTAATTAGGATTTAACGTTTATTTCCCATTATTAATGTAATTAATGTTTGTAACTTCTTTACAACGCCTCATTAAAATTTAATTAAAATCTTCAATTATGGTTAATTTCTTAACTTCTGTTCCTTATCTTCAACTGAACCTTGATTTATATTATGCATGTTTACAGATTTTAATTTTATATTAAATGCTTAAAAATTCGTAATTAATGAATTATTTTCGTCCATTAATTATGTATTAAACCTTTCATCTCATCACAAAAAATGTCCTTTCTTATTTAAAAAAATATATTGCACGTATATAACTAAGAATTCTATGAAACAGATTAAAAAAATAAGTAACTTTTTTTTTTATTTAGGTGATAAATAATAATATACACAAACTACAATAACAAATTTCCATATAAATAGATCATTGTAAGAAATATAAACGCCACCTAAATGCACTATCCCTTTTACTGACAAGAGACGGAATGTGTAAGAATCTCCACAGTGAGTTTCCTCCAAAGGTATACTCATAAAACTTTTGCTACGCTTAGAGAATGCATTCAATATTTGGTCTGACAAGGATTTGCTCAAAAACTAACATGTTTTGATGTAGATGGCTGGGAATAGCTGGGGGAATTAACATCACGCTTCATAGATATTTTGTGACCTTTCTAAGGCTTTTTATTGTTTTTTCATGAAAGATTTATTAGGAAACTTTACTTTTATGAATTTAGAGGTAACTCATTGGATTTTAGGGTCGCATATTGGAGTGGCAGATTGCAGAGGGTTGACAATAATATTGGTGTTTTACAGGTTTCATCCCTTGGGTCCTTTTACCCAACTTCGCAACGCAAAAGAGGGTAATGTGTTTATGAGTCTATGTATATATGTCTGTTCCTATATGGCATTATAGAGACCAATCGGCTTGGGCAATTTTGAAGATTTATATGTCAATCGATTTGTCTTAACCTTGCGAGTATCACTTAACACATAACGTAACAATCAAAATTATTTTCAAATTATACGCGGCTCCGTTGATTGGTCAAAAAGGAATGGGTCCCGACTGATCGTTGATCCTTCTATTCTGCTTTTGAATTTATGATGTGTTTTATGTGTGTGTAGATCATAGATTTATTTCAACGGAGCAGTTGTTCAGTAGTAATAAATAACATTCCAAACTACAGGGCTTGTTTTTTCTTTTTAGTTTTTAGTAAAAGTAATTATATACATATTTCTGTCACTTTTTTCTTTTTTGTTTTTAATTTATTATACATATCTCATTATAATAAATAGCTCGGTGGTGTAGTGGATAAGCGCCGTGGCCCGCGATTGTTGTCGTTAAGCAACTGTCGCAAGGGTCGGTCACGGGATGGGTGACCAAAAAAATATTATCTCGAGCTACTCCGTGCTTCGGAAGGTACATTAAGCCGTTGGTCCCGGCTGCATTTGTAGTCGTTAATATCCTTCAATCCGCATTGGGCCAGCGTGAAGGGTCATGGCCCATCCTCCTTAACCATCCATAAGGAAGGCCTGAGCCCCTGCAGTGGGGACGTAAAACGGCTGATGATGATGATGATGATACATATTTCAACCTGATAATTCAACTTTAAGGGCACCAAACTCATTTTGTTACCTACGTTGTAATTTCAACAATCTATTATTTATTACAAGTAAAGAAACAAAGAATAAATTGGAATCAAGCCCACCTTCTCGGAATCGCACAGTACAGTTCTTTATATAAACGTAATAATGGGTTCTTGTGGGTTCAAATACCCTTTGTTATTTCGTCCGTTTGGGTCCGTTAAATATAACTGTTAAATAGTAGAATGTAATTATTAAAAAATATAAGTATTATATAGAATTTATAGAAACCTTCTTGGTTGGGAATACGATAAGCATGAACGCGGGAATCGTAAAACGAACTCTGATATGCAATCGGGAATACATTTCCATGGCCACCAGTGGGACTAGCAGTGGGAACTTTTTTGTCTCATTGATTTTATCTCCTTATCTATTTATTTTCATACGTAGCCTTAAAGCGAGCGAAAAAATTATTAACAATCGGTTTTGTTCAAAACAATAACGTCCAAATAACATAAAATATATCATATATGATCAATATCACATTCAGCTATACGGGACAATATCAAATATATATCGTCAAATACGAGTAACTTCAAGAGCTACTATAACAGCCGATAATGGAAAATACTTAGCAATCAAACACATATATATTTAGCAACTTGACCGCTCACACAATCGACCTTGATCTTTTTTAATGACATTTTAGCTTTGATATTTAGCTCTAATACTGAGTTTTATTGTTTCGTATAACACAATACTGCAGGTAAACAAACCTGCTTGCAGAAAGGAACATACAAAGGCAGCGGCTTTCAAAATAAAACCTTGTTTTAATATAAGACTTACGTACATTATCTCCGATATATTGTAAAGATTATTTGTAATTCCCTCATAATTAATTTATACGAAGCTTGATGTGTTTCTCGAGTGAAGGAATTCATAACCTGTATTCTTCAAAAGATTTTAATAGAAATTTCTCGTAATATATATTTAAACTGCTTTTAAGTAAGTAAATATAATTTTACACTTCTTTGGTCTTATTTTTTTATTTTATATGGTTACATCCATAACACTCATACTTCAACATATGTGTAATATGTTGATATAAGAGTTATACCACAGATTAGTGATAAATTATGATTATACTAGTAAAATTAATCAAACCTCTGTGCTCTATGTGTGTGCTGTTTTTCTTACAATATCCTAAAGACATGTTTAGCAGTGATTCCGTTACGCGACGGTACTTTATCTAAGAAGATAACAGAATATGGATTAAGTAATTCCTTCTTAAATTATCCCTAATAGAGGATAGACTATCAA